TAGTGTTCCTTTTTTATGATAAAAATAATTGCAAGATAACATTTTCCAAACTTGGAAAGTAAGTGAAAATAAATTGAGGATAACTTAAAACAAATAGTTTTTTCCTTAGCTGCAGAGAAGAATGCCACTCGATAGGACCGAAATGACTTGCACTGTGATACTCAGCAGTTGTTATTAAATCCAGCTCATTATATTGACCTCCGGTAGAAGAATTGGCCGGTGAACGAGTCATTGTTATCAATTAATCGAGTAGTATTCAAGTAGTGGATCATAAAAATATAATAATATATTAATTTAAAAATATTAATAATTATATTAATTAAATAATTATAATTTTAAAATATCAAAAAATCAGTCTAATCGGGTTTCACGGATTGACTAATTCAACCATAAGTTAATTGATTCAATATAATTTCTCTTTTTTAAATAGTTCAAAAGAAAAATCGGCTCGATTTGGAAACTGCTTCACTGGTTCTTTGTATTATTTAATAGTTATGATACTGAGTACTATCTAATTATTTATGGTGGACTTTAAATGTGGAGTTTTTGAAACAATCTTCATTCACATAATGAAGATCAAGATGTAAGTGGACATGAATTTTAGGGTGTTTGCTCTATTTCAATCCATTTAATAAGAGTACGATAGTTATAAATAGATTCAGAATAGATACAGATAGTCAAATTACCATTCATGTCAGATACAGATAATTAAAATACATGTATATAAGTCTTTTGATACATGTTATTCATTACCCGCTATATTAAATAGATCTGGTCATAGTACTCATTATATCTTACCATCATTAATAAAATTTTAAATAATCTTGGATTTGAATAATTTAAAATTTATGAATATTATTTTAGCTGAATTTTGAAATGAGTATGTACAATAAAATTTTGAATGAATTCAAATACGAATACTTAAATAAATTTTCAACAAACACGAATAATAAAATAGAAAATGGATATGAATAACCTGATGTTGCATATTAGAACTCATTAAAGTCCGACTCGCAACATTGTGCTCGATAAAAGGACACTTTCATCCTTAGTTGTACCTTAAAAAAAAAAAAAAAAAAAAGCGTTAGCTTTTCCAAGCTAATTAGATATGTTCAGCAAAATTAACTGTTATTGTAACTATTAGTTGTTTTAGTAGCATTTAACTATTAACTGTTAGCTATTTGAAGAGCTTTTCATAAACTAAAAGTTAAATATTACATAGATTAACTTTTTATAAAAGATTATTTTAACATTTAAAAATTAGTTTAAATGTTATATTACCGAAAATTAAGAAAAATAAACGTAACCTTATAAATTACGTAAAAAAAATATTGTCATACAGAGTTTTTACTTCTATTAATCTAATCATTTGTTGATAAATATGAAATATTTTAAAAGTGAAAAATAACGAATTTGATGGTTTAAACCATTGATTGCTTTATTTATTATAATATACAAACTTAATAATAAAAAAGTCTGAATTTTGATTTTTTTTAATTTTAGCAAATATTTTTAAAAATATTTTTAATTTTGTCCGTCAATAGATTCCACATCGAAAATTATGAAAAAATAAAAATGTGAATGATAAAAAGAAATTGTGTTTGGTAAAATGAAATATAAGTTCAATTTTTTATCCAAGTTTTGAATTAAACCAATGAATTTAAAATTTAAGAATTAATATTTAGTGAAAGTATATAATTTTACAATATAAAACATACATAAACACATTCATTTTAAGAATTAAAATTATTAAAATTTAATAACTTTTTTTTTTCCACTCTCTGACTAGTATATGATTACGCTTTTATGGAGACCAAATTGACAAATAAAAGTAAATGCAACGGTATAAGTGATAAAATTAAAACGGTATTATAATTCAGAAGTTAATGAATTTGATGGTACCAAACTGTGTCTATTTATTACTAGTTGATGATTGGTAGGACAAGATTTTATCACCAGTAAATGTGAAAGGATGTTCTTTTCATTCATGCATGAAGAAAGGGGATGTTCTTTTCATTTGCATGAAGTTCCACGAGAGTTCGCTTAATTTTTTGTTTTCAAATATTGACTATATATAACTTATAATCAAGTCATCTAATCAGGTTAAATAAGTTCACGCACGATGCTAATTAGTAATTAGTGTCAGAAACTTATTAAATGACCATTGAACACCACTGGTTAACAAAATGAAAATTTGAACACCATTGATCCTATTAGGTAGAAAAAGTCAATGAAGAATGACAAATGTGAGAAATTTTGATGGGTGATCGAAAATGATATTTCTATATTTCTTTGTTCGATACCAAAATTCATCAACTACTTTTCTTTCACTGTCATCCAGTTTCAAGCAATACTGGCTTATCCTATGTAGTCATTTTTCTAACATGGCTATTAATAGATGATTGAAAATGATAATTTTTATTTCAGTGAAAATGATAATTTTTATTTCAGTCCAAAATTTAATTGATTCTTTCATTTTCACTAATTTTCAGGGAATATGCATATTCCTGGAGTCCTGTTTCTTTCAATTTGAACTTAATTTGCTATTACAAGAAGAAGCATGTCACCTTCGCAAATTAATGACAGGATAATGAGTTTTAATAGATGATTGAAAATGATAATTTTTATTTCAGTTGTTTGTAATAAAATTCTGACAGTCTTATTTATTTTTTTTTTTGTATAACCAGGACGTGGAATCCCCTCTTTGGATCGTAAAGCCTAAAGGTTTATGGTTCTCCAGCAAAGTGCACTTGCTGGCGATCAAACCTGTGTATGGTTCTTGTGAACTTAAACAAGATCTGATATTTAGCAGCAAAGATTCATCAAAACAAATAAAAAACTTATTTGGATTTCTATCTCATTATCCATATCTCATTATCCATGAACTTAGTCAGCGTTGAACCATATCCTATTAAATCAAACATTTACAACATGATTTACAAATGAACTATAACTAGTAAGATTGCAATTTTGAACTATAGAAAACTTAGATGACTTGGCCAATGTTATTATACTACTAAACATTAGGATTCATTTACAAGTGGCATTCTCTGCAAACGAAATGAATTCCTCATTCATTTGATGCAAACACTAAGCAAAATTTTGGCGTTCATCGACCACAACTTAGAATGGATTCAGTGATAGACAATGTAGAATAATCATTAGACTCAGGAACTGACAAACTGCAATCTCCAGCTACTTGTTGACTAATTGTGACCAAACCAATTCCAGGACCAGAAGCTTCCATTTAACCAATTCCAGGACCAGAAGCTTCAATTTGTATTTCTGGCAAGCTAGCCTTTCCATCTAGATATTGCACCACTTGCCTCATGATAGGCCTAGCTGCTGGTATAGGGTGAGCACAGAGAAGGCCTAACTTCAGAACCAATTCCATTTCCTCCACCATATATTTACCTTCCAATTTAGGATCACTTGTTTCAAGAATTTGCCCGCTTTTCCAGCGTTCAAGAACCCAATCTGCCAAAATCACCTCCTGAGGTGGTCTTTCTGGCTCTAGAGGCTTCCTTCCACAGGCTACTTCAAGCATAAGAATACCAAAAGAAAAAACATCGCTGCTTGTAGTTACCTTTCCTGTTCTTGTAGCCTCTGGTGCAAGGTATCCTACAGTTCCAACAACACAAGTTGTTTGAGGAATCGACCCGTGATCATAAAACTTAGCAAGTCCAAAATCCCCTAACCTTCCACCATTAAGATCAGAGTCTAAACATAACATTTGAAGCTTTCACATCTCTATGTAGAAACCAACCTTTCCACTCTTCATGGAGGTAACAAGATGCTGATTGAAACTGCTTTCAGACTTGACATCGGCGAAACCCACATTCAGTTTGGTGTGTGAATGTGAGAATAAGAATTTATTTTTCAAGGGAAAAGGGGGAAAACTTTTTTTCCCGTTTGGCCATTTTTTTAAATTGTAACTTATTCACCCCCATAACCAAGAGCCAACTCTCGCCTTTCGCCCGCAGTAGCTAACTGAGTTGCCCACTAAGTTCCTATGCCCTTAGCTTCCCCATGGTAACAAATTTCTTGCTACAAATTCTTTCATTCTCCTGTTGAGACTCATTTGAGACCTTTTCTTGACAGCAACTTGTGATATTGGCGAAGAAGGCAATAAACTCCTTGTAAACTCGCCCAATCCCCCATACCAAATCCCCCAAAACCAAGCAACTCCTTCTCTCTGAACCCTTTAGTAGCTTTATAGAGATCTCTGTAACAAAATCTTTGAGGTCCATATTCCTGTTCCCAATCTTCGCGCAATTCTTCATATTTCTTCCTCCATATGATATAAACAACTCCAAAGATTATTGTTATCAGCAAAATAATTGCTATTATTAATGGGATTACAGTACTTAAATCTGGTCTTTTGCTTGATTTTCTTTGAGGAGGAAGTAAAGGAAGTTTTGAGATATCAAGATTTTGAGCTGGCCCACTTCTGTTAAAGCTCCATCCAAGAATATAATGGTAGCTTGACATTGATCCTGTTGAAGAAGAAAAGCCAACATACATAGAATCCAAGAAAACTAAGAAACTTAAGAGAAAAGATCAAGAATTTGTTTGGACAACGAGAGGCTTTTTGGTTTCTTTTCGTTGTAGGAGCTACAAGTAACATTGATTAGCTTCTTCTACATCATCATAATCTATCCATACCTTGCATTGGCATTTCCACTTATTAGCTTCTAAACTCTTATTTCCACTTTCTTCCTGCTGATATAGTGGGCAGCTAAGCTGATACATTCGATAAGTTTTAAACCATTCACAGCAAACACCGATATGATTGTTGTCTAGTCTCGAAAGTTCGGGAGTCAGTATAGGTATCAAATCAAAGCCAAAAATATGGTTGAGGAACAAGCCAATGGTTGTAGAATTAAATAGTTCCAAGTATTGATGTATCGGCTCTCCTCTGATTAACTTCGATAGATGAGAGATAGTGAAGGTAAAAGCCATGGCCACCAAGATTGCCAAACTGAGGAAAGATGGCAAACACAAAATTGGTGGAAAATGGAAAAGAGACTTGCACGAAGTCTCTTGATGAAATCGATCACTTGAACTTTAGAGGGAAGTGGAAAGAAAGCGCGTGCGATTTGTAGAGCTTTTTTGGAGAAAATTTGTCAGCTCTAGCAGGACCATTCTTTGTGAATTTTTGCGAATCCCATTAGCGTGCAAGGTCCAGTTTTCATTGAAGCCATGGCTAGATGAATTGGGTTTTACTCGTTTTGCTGCTAAGGCTAATGGTTTCAGAGACAAAACTACTAGAGTGAAATGCAAAAATCGAATTTAAACAAAGAAAACATTGAGAGACACAATTAGTTGTTGCGTTGAACAAATTTAATTCCAAATGCTTGCTATACTATGAATTTTTGAAATGCAGATTAAGTAAAGTGTCCATTGATATAAATTATTTCCTGTTCTGAAATCTTTGATGGTTAGCAAATGCAGTTAAGGAAAAATTAGACCAACTAATTAATTCTATTTTCTGTACAATCAAGTGACAAACATTCTCTGCATCTATAAAACTATAAAAAGATAATAAATTGATCCCTTGAACAGAACGGACAATTATATATTTATTATATTGGCCCTCATGAGTTGACTGTTAAATTACAAGAAGTGAAGCATGTAACGTTTGCAAATTAAATGACAGGATAATAGGAGGTTTAATAAAATGACTGAAAATGATAATTTTATATTTCAGTCCAAAATTTAATTGCCGTCTTTCATTTTCACACCATTTCAGGGGAATATGCATTATTCCTTGGCGTCCTGATGTTCTCATCTTAATTTCTTACCTTAGATTTTGCTATTACATTTTTCTGTCTGTTGTATCTATGTATATGAAATTGAGTCATATGTTCTAATAAAGCCGGGACAGCTTGCTTCTCTAACAATTGGAAGACTTTCCAGGAACCATTGGCTTGACCTTAATTTTTATCATTAATAATAACATAATAATATAGCGCAAAGCCTGGCCGTAACACTACACCAGGTAACTCATCCAATGGCAGTAATAAAATAACCATGAAATCCTAAGCTGAAATGTTCAAAAAAAAAAAAAAAAAAAAAGGCACCAATATTTGCAGCTTAGGCCAGGCAGGAAAGGCCAGGCCTTTGGGAAATTTGGTATGGTTCAAACATACAGCACCCATGTCCGTTATCGTCTAGGACTACATGTTAGAAGCTTTAGGAATCTTAATTTTCAATTCCAGACTGACTTAACTAAAAACCTAGTAAGTGAGCTAAAATAATTGATCAAACCAATAAAAAAAATTGTTTTTGAAAACAACAATTTTTCTTACTGGGGGGCGGGGGGGGGGAGGGGGGGGGGGAAGGGAAAGGTGAGAGCAACTTCTAAAAAATTTTTAGATTGGTTGGATCATAGGTGGACACATATTATCAGATCTAAGCGAGTTTTATTCTTTTCAATCAAAAAAATTACTTTATTTCCATTAATTGATTGTTTTGACTGCAACCTCTGGATCGAATTAACAGAGAGACAAAGAGAAAAATTCTTAAGTTATCTAGCCTTTTTGGATCTTGTTCTGAAGCAATGGTGACTTGCATCTGATTTCAAGAACTAAAACAGGCTTAGTAGAATAAAATTAAATGATACATGGATTCGAATTAGAAATAAAGTTCTCAGAATAAAAAATTGGAAACTAAAAAATTTCTATTCATTAGGACATGTTCTGAGTTCTGACATTTAGCAAGTCAAAATCGCCTAACCTATTCCATTAAGATTCAGAATCTAATAAACGATTGCTAGCTATTCCACATCCTATGTAAAACAACTTGTTCCCCATTCTTCATGGAGGTAGAAAGAGCAAATGCACTCCTTTAATGCATTTGACTCTCCGTTCGTACAAAACCAATCAAAGACTAGGTTTCTTCATTATAAATAAAACATTGTCAAGACGTCCATTAGCATTATTTGGATTCATAACCAAGAAAAGCTTCTCCTTTTCGCCGGCCATAACCCGTAAAAGATGGAAACAAGATTTCCTATGCCTTAGCCTTCCCAAGCTAGCAATTTCAGCTACAAAAAAATTCCTTCATTTCCTGTGTTGTAATTATGATGAGATTTCTTTACAGCAATTTGTACATTAGATGAGTGTAAGTGCTCCTTTATAAACCCTTCCAAAATACCTCCACAGCCAAGGAACTCTCTTGTCTTTAAAACCTTTAGTTGCTTTATAAAGATCCTTTTAAGAAATCTTTGAGGGACCGTGATTGTTCGTGTTTCCCAACCTTCCACGAATTTTCCAATAATTCTCTTCAATGGAAGCATTAATTGTACGAGGTTCTTAGATTACCCTTTGATTTTCTTTCATGAGAAGTGAAGTGGAAGCTTTGAAAGATCAAGGACTTTGTGCATTGCCCAATATTGTTAAAGACTCCACCAAAGAATATATTAAATGGGTTACTTACAACAGAACAGTAGATGCAGAGAAACCAACATACATGGATCATGAAAACTAAGAAGATCAAAATAGCTTGTCGAATTAAAGAGGTTTTCTCGCTTTCTTACTTTCCTCTATGTTACATTACAGTAGCTTTACTCCATTTGATTATATTCATAGTCTCATGCTTGAATTGGTTCCCCAACTATGAATTCCAAGCTCTTATTTCTGCTTTCCTTTTCTGAAACAATACCGTGAAACCGGAAGCTATTCGAATAGATGTTCAAATTGTTAAAATCTACTCCAACATGATTGTCAATTGGATATCTCAAATTCAGGATTCTTCACAGTATCTAAACTCTAATGGCAAATAAATGATTGAAGGTTAAGGCCTATTCGTGAGTAGAGTTCAAAAGTCGCAACGAATATTGAGTTCTCATTGTTCTTTAAACACTTACTGATTGGTGGAGATAGGGTGAAGGCTAAGCCATGGCCATCTCGATTATGCGACTCAGGAACCTATAGCAAACCAAAGTTGTAGAGAATGATAGAGATGAGAAAAGAAATTGTTGGGGCAAAGATTTGTCGGAAAATGAATGGGAAAGGAAAGAAGCATGGCCGATTGTTGCTTTGAAGTGTTTGTTAATTCTAATAGACCATTTTGGATGGATTTTGGTGCCCCATTTAGACTTTAATATTGCTCCTTGGAAGCCAATTGTAAGATGAACGGGTTTGACTTCTTGAAAGCTAAGCCAAGTGTTTTATGCATACAGAAAGAGCGCTAGGAAAAGTTTGAAGTGATCTAAGAAATGCTCGCCATTGAAGGAAAAGATTTTAGAAAACAGAAACAGAAAGATGTGCTTGTATTCTGCATATGAATTTTTAATTTCTTGGGGGAAAAGATATTCACAGTTTTCCAAACTCAATCAAGTGTCATATTCAGGCGCATGAGAACACTCAAAATGATGACAACCAAAGCTCTTTGATTGATCTCAGGAATCAACGTTGCTGCTTATTGGAGGCTATGTAGGCGGTCTAATAGCATAAAAGATGTAGACAGAAGTAAGAGCAGAAAAAAAATTATTAATTAAATTTTATGCGAAAAATTGCCTAAAAAAAAAAAAAAAAATCCAGATAATGCTAGGTACTGTGGCTGCAACGCGGAGCCCAATAAGGCAGGATGGGTCAAATTAATCCATTTGACTGTCCATATCACACCATTCGGGTTGGCAGTGGGGGACGGTATGTTGGTTAAGATTTTTTTTTTTTTTTTTTTTTGTTTTGAAATTACAATTCAATTATCAAGTAAATTATATATATTTTATTAGGAAAATAAG